CAGCCCCAGTATGAGCTGGTTTGCTTTCCATGCAACGGGTTCAGGATTCAAATCCCGGACGAGAAGGAAGATATGTACTACTGATGAGCTCTAATAAAATTAAAACTCTTTACCAGTGCTTCTGAGTGTATTGTTGACAGGATGAGCCGAGGGTTGTGTGTGAAGATGGAGCGCGAAAGATTGTAAGTTCACAAAAACAGCGTTTAACCCAAACCACTACTCACAAGTAACTGTAATTGGAACGCGAAAGAAACAACCATATCTAAAACCAGTCAATATTCCCGAATCTTCCGCGTTACCGAATCAAAATGCAGAAGACTGCTGATTAACCGGAATGCAAAACATTATCATCCACTCCCACGACAGGAGTATGACGGCTATATTTTTTTCTTTCAATAGTATACAAATGGAAGTGAACCAATACAAGAGCAAAGATAAGGGGCTTCAGCTGAAGGGAAATCTTAAATTGCAAACATTAGTAGTATTCCCGTCACGTATCTCGATTGGGAACATTAATGAAGTTTCCGAATGCTGTTTTCAGTTTTGAGCGAACCATATACTCTACAATAGAATTTTCATAAAACATATTAATATAACCAAACGGCTTTACCTTCGTGATTTTTTAAGATTCCTCTCCTTGAGTAAAAGCAATATTCGAGATCATTAACTTCGAAGAGAATCTTCTCTAACCACATCATCAAATTACCAATATTATCTATTATTTCTTTAGTTCATTAGTGCGAAATACGATAATCTTATAGGTTTAAGGGAAGGTGTGCGCTTGAGGAATGCCGTCAAAGCAGATCAGTTTCATTTTTTTGAATATGAGCTCTACGATTTTGCTTCGTCTTCGTTTAAACTCATAGAAAACATTCACTTGATTCCGTTCCATCAGGAATTGGTTATAAGGATTTGGAACTGAATCTCTTATTTCGGGTATTGGTTAATCCTCAAGTGTGTGTCTGTGATTTCGGTTGTAGTAGATTTTTACACCGTAAACTATTACTGAGATGTTTCATTTATAGACCGTGTTATCTTTAATGTGCAGACGAAACAAACAGTTGTTAAACGAACCTTATAGTTGTGTTCCGAGTTTTAAACAATGACTTAAGAGGTGGTAGCAATTGAAACACGCCGACTAAGTAGTAATACCGGTTAGATTGGTGACAGTGACTTCGATCACGTTCACGACGGTAATCAAAAGCTTGACTTTACCAAGCTTACTTTGGTTCATTCACATTGAACGGTCTTCCATCATCGGCAAACAATCGGAGGGCAGGTCGTTTCGGTTTCAAACTGAAAAACAAATGGAGAATGTGTTAGGTCCAAATGATCAATCCTCCAGCTCAGTGACATGATCGTGGTGGCATTTATTGATAAAATCCAAAATGAACAGCGTCCTCTTCCCCCGAAAAACTATCCTTGGAATAGAGAACAAACTCACTCATCAGTCTTGTTCGTTTTCTTGTTTCTGGCTTTTTCTTGGAGTTCCATGTATTCATGTGTCTCTATCCGGGATTCGGGTGTAAATGGGACCTTTTCCTTCCAAAATTCACTAACGACTGGATCAATGTCACTGGGAAAAAACACGAGGTAAAAAATGAAAAATTATAGAATAGTTTTATTTCAAAATGGGACCAACAGCACCTATTTATATTGTGGTTGATCTCATACCTTTGGACTTAGAAGAACTGGCGATATCAGTGTTTTACTACTCACATTTATTTAGTAGGTAAGTGATTAAAACGGTTTATTGTCGGCTCACCCATGACTGGCAGCGATCCTTTCTTGATGTATCTGACGCCTTTTCTCAGCTTCATTTTTTTCTTCAATCTGGGAATTGCAAAAACAGAGTCAAGAAGGAACATGGAATTACTCGACGTTTTGCGTGAGCCTTTTGTTTAGTCACAATAAGTGGACGAATTCGTTCCAGGATTTGTAATGCCAAAATTCGTTCAGATTTGGTGATTTCCACACCGTCTAGCTGCTGATACAAAATTCGCACATTCAACCAAAAAACTACCTGTAATTGGGGAAGAGTGGCTACTACATACTCTCTGTAGTGAGGATATTCCGTGCACGGATTGCCCGTAAGAAACCTGCATCAGAATGTAAATAAAACGCTTCACCGAACTTACAGCTCTTCCAGTGCATAGAGNCTTGTCAATTCACCAATGAAATTCACCGTCAAGTCTAGTTTTTTAAGCGATTCACATCCTGAAATAGGATAAATGCATACACAGAATATTTATTCCCATGTCCGCTCGTTACCCTCCAAATTCTCAATTCGTTCGATATTATTCAGCGCCAAATTAAGGTATTCCAGAGCTTTGAGCCTTGAAACATTTTCTACAGAATAACATCATCACATTCAACGGAAAAAATCACAATCCACCTACCAATACGGGGAATCAGATTGTTTTGTAGATAGAGAATTTTCAACTGACGGCACCATTTGTCTATGTACTCGATTCTAGAAAGACAAAATTAGACAAAAATCGTGACAAAGATGGCAATTCTCAAACCGTTCCAAATTTTGTTGATGCAATGAGAGCTCTTCTAGGGAGAATATCTCACCCTCATTGTGTTCTGCACGTTTTCGAATTAGTTCTTCGGTTACTGTATATACCCGAAAGAGCTAGTGACCTTCGAAAACTATGGAAACTCACCTCGGACCATTCTGGTGAACCCTCAGCTATCTTTGGGAAAGATTTTTACCTCCTTTCAGGAAAGAAAAACACCCGATTCAAAAAGCATACTAAAATGAAGAAGAGAAATGGATCAGTTTTATATGAAAGTGCCATCAGCATAGAAAGCTTAAAAATTTCCGATCGCATATATAAGAAGAGCCACCGTTTCGTGACTATAAATTTCACTCTAACAGACGATGCTACAGAGAAAGTAAATATCTTGGTCAGTCACGTATCACTCAGGGCACAAACATCGGATAAACTAATCTTACAAGTAGAACTTAACGATTACAAATTTGAGGTATGGTGACATTATTTAGCCTTTTGCATTCCGTTCCCTTCTTCCATGTAAACACTTTATTTTTTATTACCTATCATGAGGAGTTCATTTTCGACTTCGGATTTGGTACAAGTGCCGCTGAGTTCCACCGTGTGCTTTCCCTCTGCAAATTTCATACTTCAGATTCTCATAAACGTGTTAACGTTAGTCATCGACTTGTCTCTTGCTCCAGTATACTCTTCGAGACTTATGAAGAAAGATCGATCGATTGGGTTTTCTCTTTTTGACAGCCTGAGCTTAAGCTATTTTGAGGCGCTATAAAAAGCAAATATGGCATCTCTGCAATATCTTCTAAGCCTAGAATTATTAGAAGTAACGTGAAACATGTAAATCACATTTGCTTGGAGGTGTAGAGACATGATAATTACAAATAAACGCCTTGCTCTTTGCCTTCCCGTGTTGGAGGTGTTTTCAACAAAATGAGAGGATGAATGAACAGCGTCCACAGCTATGACCGGGCCGGTGAATCACTGGCAATTCACCTGGGGTAGTTGGCCAACAACCCTGATTCCGAACCAAGAGTGTGGTGGCGATCATCGGCTTGACTGGGCGTCGAATTGTATCGGATGCCTTGGACGTTTGACCCCGTCTGGTGGGCGTATGATCTGATGAACTAGACACCGGTCCCAATGGATTGCGGTTTCCACATCGCCCCACTGCCTTGTGTATCAGGCTTTGGCTAGCTGAAGGCTCCGATTGTGAAGTTCCCTTAGAAAATTCACCCGCTTTGATTTGATCAATCTGGCATTATCCCGTCCACATGCAAATCATGGAAACTTTTCTTTGTTATAAAGTTTACTGTGCCGCGATTTGTTGGGCATACAGCCTGGGCCCAGATGTTTGTAAAATGCAAATATATACAAGTAAAATATTTGCGATGAGTATTATTATTCCGGTACTGCTATCTACACTGAAACATTTGAACCATAATTCGCTAGCAGATGACCTAGAGCGAAACCAGTGAGTATATATACAACTGTTTTTCGGGTTTGGCAATTATATTGCAAACATTGCATCACCAATCGAGGTGATCAAATCTTCACCCTCCGACAGCTGCTAGAGCACCGTCATGCTTATCAGAGACCGACGAT